CTAGCCTCTAACTCACAGATATTCTCCTGCCTCTTCCTCCCCAAGTGCTGGGATTACAGGTGTGTGCCACTGTGCCCAGCCATTTTCAGGTCTTGATCGATTTTATTTCATTCATTTCCGTCAACTTTAAAAAAAAAAATCCTTGATGGGATTTATTAATTTCCTTTTTAAGGACCTCTATCATTTTTCTTATGCTTCAGCTTTGTGGGAATATTTAGGGATTGCTACAGTAGTATAGCTACAACAAGCTCTGATGGAGACATGTTGCCCTGTGTGTTGTTGTGGAGCTGTCATATTTCTGAGAGTATAATGAATATTTGACATGCGCCGGGCTGTTTCAAGTATTTCACTAGGACCCAATCTATTCTATCCCCAGCAGCTCCCCAAGATGCTGCTGCTAATGCTACCCCTATTTTCCAGGGGAAGACATGAGGAAAACAGTAAGCAGAATGGTTAAATAGCTTGTTATGAATTGCAAGCTGGCACATGGCAGAGACAGTGTGGATCAAAGAATCTAGCTTCTGGGGTTGGATCCTGTGCTCTCCTGTCTTTGACTTTTCCCATCTCCCCTCCCTCCCTTTCTCTTGGCAGGCAGAGGCAGGGAGATTGCTGAAAACTGCAGGCCATCTTCCTCAATATAGTAAGTTCCTGGTCAGCCAAGGCTATATAACAAGACTCTGTCTCAAAAAAAAAAAAAACTTTTTCTGCAACTCAAGGTGGCCTTAAACTTATAACTATCTGTTCTCAGACTGCTGGAATAACTATCACCCCAGTTCTGTACCTAAGTTCTGGTTCTGAGTATTTCTTTAGATAGTTGCTTGTCTTCCTCAACTAGATTGGGAGTCATATGTGATAGAATTTCTGGCTTCCTGAATCCTAAAGCCACAAGTTTTCTCATTGGCAGAAAAAGATACTGTAGTACCAGGAGAACAGAAGTTCCACGTTTTCCCAAGGTTAGGTAGGTCACTCCTAGTTTCTTTTTTTGTGGTGAATGCGCTGTGTAGGGGAGGTTCTCTGCCCCAAGACCCTAATGGCTTTGAAGGTCTTAGTGTTGAAAGGAACTAAGACATGTTTTCTGTGGTAGCACATGCCTACAATCTCAAGAACTCCACTGTCAAATCCAGCTGTCAGCATTTGCCTCCTGAGTTCCAATACTCTGCACTGTTTGCACCGCCCAGTTAGCTGTGAGGCAACTGTGAAGTCATGGCACTAACCCTCTTTGTTAGCCCAGCATGTTTCCAGGCCTCTGGGGCCAATCAGCTGTGGCCAAACGAGTAAAGGTATAAAACTCAATGACGAAACTCTAGCCTTTGTGTGGACTGGAGGGCACTCCAGGCAGGCATGGGCAAGCACAACATACCAGCTCCAGGCAGAGTCAAATGGTGGGTAGAGGGAATCCAAAAAAATACCTGGAGAATGGAGGGCAGGCAAGCAGACAGGGCTGAAGAGAAGGGGGACTAGCAAAGGAGAGGAAAAGCGAAAGAGTCGCTGTTACCCCAACACAGTTAATTTATGGAGTGTGGCAAATGTGAGGGTCATCTGAGGAGATGGGACAACTTGGATGTGGCCGGAGCTGAGGGGAAGCTGTAACTGGGCAAGGCGGACCCAAATAGAGATGTTTTAGTTTTGTAAAATTTTGACCACAGCCCTGAAACACATACAATTGGCAGTTCCGTTATCCCTTTTAGTGATGAAAAAAATGGAGCCATAAAGGTTACCTAGGTCCCTCTTAAATCTAAAATGTCTACATTTAAAACTAGATTGCTTCTCCATGGGGGGAATTAAAAAATTCTGAAGCTGGTTCCAAGTGCAAAGGTCCATGGTGTCTTTCAGGGGGTGTTCATGCTTGTGAATTAAGGAACTTTCAGCCTCAGTGTTTAGTGTACCAGCCCTCATCACTTGAATATTATACCTTGGCTATTCAGTGGCAACAATGAGAACCCCAAGCAACAGGGTTCATTTTCTTCTCTGTGTTCATGGCTCTTGAGTCCTTATTACTATATCTGTCCCTTCCTTTCTTTTTTATTTTTTTAATTTTGAGACACAGTCTCATTGTGTTGCTCTCTGTTGCCTGAAACTCACTATGTAGACCAGGCTTGCTTACTTGCCTCTGCTTTCAGAATGCTGGGATTAAGGTCATGAGCCATCACTGCCCAGTGAAGCTTTGGGGCTTTTATCTTGCCTTTTGGGATTATACTTCCATTGGGCACATTTGCTGACTCATTTACATTGGCAGTGTATGTTTATGTGTGCAGTGAGTTACAGACATACTGAATCTAGCACTTCCAGCTGAATGCATGGTTGCTCATATTGTGGCTTTCCTAATGGTGTCTATATTTGCTTTACAGATTGCTGACTGTCTTCCCATTTCATTTACTCTTTCATAAAACTGTGTTTAAGCAACACTCATTCCACATACAAAAAAGCAGATTCAATTACCATATAACCTAGAAATTCCAGTCAGTCATACACACTAAGTGAAAATAATTATCTACCCACAAACCTGTATATTTGGCTCAGAATGGTCACAATATTCACAATAGTCAAAAATGTAAGCAAACCAAATGTCCACTCAATGATTAATTAAAATAGGGCCTATGTAAACAAGAATATTATGTGATCATAAAAAGTAATGACGACTTGGGAGAAAGAGGCAGGGGTTGGGGATCTAGTGTTCAAGGTCACCCTCTGTTACAGAACAAGTTCAAGGCTGGCCTTGCTTACAAGAGATGAATCCCACAAAAATGTAGTAATATGAACACAAGCTACACAGATGAACCTCAAAATCATTATGCTTAAGACTGAGGAGATGACTCAGTAGGTAGTGCTTGCCTTATGGAAACAAGGACTTGAGTTTGAGTCCCCAAAACTCATGTAAAACAAGTCAGACAAGGTGATTCACCTTTATAATCCTAGCACCAGGGAGACAGAGACAGGTGGAGCCCTGGTGTTAACTGGCTAGCCAACCTACCTTAATTGGTGAGCTCTAGGCCAAAAGGTTGTTCTCTGGCTTCCATGTGTATGTCCATACTTACAAAGAACATGCTTTTTGAAAGCCAGACACAAAAAAGCTCATGTATTTTATATATATATATATATATATATATATATATATATATATATATATATATATATATATATAATCCTCTAAAAAGTAGAATCCAGACAAAAACAAAACAGTGGTTGCTAAGAGCTGGGAGAGAAAATGGGGAATGGAATTTGGGAGATATCAGTGTTCTAAAATTAACTCTGAGTACTTAAAAAAAAAACCTTTGAATCATATGCCTTAAAGGAGTCAATTGGGCCCTGGCATGGTGGCACACACCTTTAGTCCCAGTGCTTGGGAGGCAGAGGCAGGTCAATCGCTGTGAGTTTGAGGTCAGCCTGATCTACAAAGGAGTTCAGGACAGCTAGGGCTGCACAGAGAAATCCTGTCTCAGAAAAACAAACAAACAACAAACAAACAAACAAAAAGGAGTAAATTTTATGAGAAAGTGATTACCCTGAGGTGGGTAAATAAGGTAAAAATGTTGAGACAGGTGTTGGCTTGCCAATTCACTACGTTGTTGAGAATGACCTTGAACTTCTAATCCTCCTGCCTCCTAAGTGCTAGGATTGTCACTATACCCAGCAAAATTTGTTTTGTAAAACTACTGTGATTACTTTTTTGGTAAACCATGCTGGCCTTGAATTTGCAGAGACCCATGTGTCTGCCTGAGTGCTGGAATTAAAGGCCTGTGCCATCACTGGACCCCCTATTTTAAGACAGGGTCTTACTATTTAGTTTTGGCTGGCCTGTGCCTATGTAGACCAGGCTGGTCTCAAACTCAAGACTTTCTTTCTTTGCTTCCTAAGTGCTGGATTTAAAGGCATGTGTCATTATACCCAGTAAAAAGATTTTACTTAAGTGTATGCCTGTGAATATACACCACATGTGTGTTGGTGCCCAGAGAACAGGTGTCTGATTTCCTGAACTTGGGTTACAGTCAGTTGTGGAACTCCTGATGTGGGTGCTAGGAACCAAATCTGGAAGCAAGTACTCTTAACTACTGAGACATCACTGCTGACCAGTTTTGCAGATATTTATGAAGATTTTCCATTTACAGGCCATCAGTGGAGTAGGGGTGGGAGTAGAATGAGCAGGATCCAATGGCACCAAGTCCAGGTTAAATCTCTGCCACATATTGTTGCACAACTCCAGAAGCAATGTGGTCATGCCTACCCAAATTCATGTCTACTTAATGAGAATAATAAGAAATGTTATATCCAGTATGCCTTGAAACTCAGTCCCGGTTTATATTCCAGCTGATGGAGGGATTTGACTAGATTTTTAAGGCTATACTATTTTATAGTGAGTGACTTAGTTTGCTGCCCATTACCCCATTCTAGGTTTAATGTCATGGACCACAGAAGTCCCTCCCTTAGGAGAACTGAAAGAGGGAACCAAATCACCTAGAAGGCACAGAATGAATAAAGTAGCTGGTTTTGAAATGCTTTGTTAACATCAAACAGCTAACTGCTTTTGTTGTGTTCATCAGCCTGTGAACTGTGGAGGGGGATAGGAATGAAATAGTAGAGAAAGTTCATGATCTCCTGAAGTTACACATTACTCAGGAAGCTGCAGGTAAGTAGGCAGCATACATGCTAACTGAAGTTGAACAGCACTATGCATCTCAGGGGTGGAGTGCTATGAAAGCTAGGCTGAGGATCACAATTCAACACACATTTGCTTTACTTAGGAGGGAAATACTTTTAAACTGTCACTTCTACATGGTTCCTTAATCCACTTCTATTCAGTCTTCTGAGAAAATTCAGTGTCATGTTGTTTGTTAGCTATTCTGCCCTTTAAATTTTTATAGCCTACTTTGATGGTTAAAACAGCTGATATTTGTATATGTAGTCAAGATTAAAGGGAAATTAAGAATTTCTGTATGAGGAATAAAGGCATTAACTCGTTTTGCCTATAAGGAGATGGTTTTGGTACAAAGCCAACAGCTAATTTAGTTCATTAAGATGCATTTCACAGCCTCAGTGATGTGTCTAGAACTGATTCCAGAAAAATTTAGTACTTCACCAGCTCTTCCACTCCAAGGCACATCCATCACTGCCAGCTGATGAACCATGATGTCATGCTCCATGGAGACTGCTGCATAGACAGCTTCACCAATGCCACCTACAGAAACAAGGGATCTTTTCTGCAAATGGCTTGTAAGCCTTGAAAGCTGTGGTAAACACTTCTAAATCTGCTAATCTGGGGGCAAAGTACTTTCACTAGTCATTGATCCATCCAAACAGTCATGTTCCAACTGGCTTAAAGAGTTCTCATTCCTAATTCCACACCTCCTAATCACACACCCTCCCCCCCCCGCAGGGGTTAATTGCAACCCAGTCTCTAGTGATTTGGGGGGTTTAGTGGTACTAAGATTCTTAAAGCTGTCAGGGGTTTGAAAACCACTAAACACAATGAACAGCGTCAAAGACAAGTGTCAAAGCTAGCTTGATAAGGTGGCCTTTGGCTGGTACAAGCATTCTTCATTGCTGTTACTTCTCCCTCTTCCTAGGGTAACCCTTGAGCCTAGACTATGAGTACAAACAAACAGACTCTGACAAGTGTCAACTTTTTTCCCCCAAGACTCAGGTGAATTTTAGTACAAATGTCTGATAGAAGATGTCAACACAACAAACTCTCAATAGAATCATAAGGTGCTCTATCTTTAACTATGTGTATACTTGGACAGACATGGTCCTTACAGAAAGTGTTCTTTGTGCCCTTCATGAAGTTATGTATTTCTCTTATCTCTACCAGAGTTTCCCATGCTGGCATTCTAGATCTGGGACCCCCTTCCAGAGAAATATCCAATGAAATGTGGTCTTAGGGCAGTGTGTCATAAAAACAGAATATTGCCTCTCCTACCTATATTCTAGGCCCAAACATAACCCAAGCCTTATCTCCCTAAAGTGTTTTGTTTTTGTTACTTGCTGCTTTGTTTGCAAGGATCTAGTTGTTTTTGAGACAGTTCTATGCAGAAGTGTGTGTCAATGTTTTCCTGTTTGCTGCTCAATTAGTCACCTCAGTGTCGCTACTGACCTATCCTAGTTCCCTGGGCTCTATGAAAGGGACACACTGGAAAAGAGCATAACAAAGGTATGCTGAACTGGTTGCAGGCTAGAGCACATGGTGGATCTCTAGTCAAGTAAAGCAAAAACACTTTCTACCAAAACAAACTTGCCAAACCATACCCAATGTACCCAACATACCTTCTGGGTAGTGTTCTTCCAAGGTGATATTCGGCCACCTGTGGCTTTTGCATTGGAAATGATGGTGGAAGTGTCCAGGGGTTTAATGATGAACAAATCAATGACACAGATAGAGATATCTGAAGAACAGTATTATTAGCTTAGTTTATGAAGCAGATACAAGCCGCACACAGTGGTGCTTGCCTGTAATCCCAGCACTTGGGGAGGCAGAGGAAGGCGGATCTCTGTGAGTTTGAGACCAGCCTGCTCTACAAAGTGAGTCCAGGACATCCAGGGCTACACAGAGAAATCCTGTCTCAAAAAAAACAAAACGAACCAAAAACAAACAAACAAAAAACAGATCAGATGGGTGGTGCTGGATCACTACTTTAATCACAGCCCTGGGATCTGTCCAGGAATATTACATAGCTGACATTCTACTTGTTCCCAGCTTATAACTTCAGTGTTTACACAATCAACTGACCTTCTTTAGAGAGCTCATCAGCAGCCACTAAGGCTTCATGCAGAGTGACTCCTGCTTCAATAATTGTGACCTTGTCATTGTCATAATGGTGGAAAACCTGGCATAACACCAACAAAATAATGTACAAAGACATCTCAAAGACACATTGCTCCCGACATAACACTTATGAACTCATTACTTAATTTACCTACAAGACAGGTGCAGTTGTACATATCTGTATTCCCAGTCACCCAGAAACCAGAGGCAGGAAGATTTCAAGCTTAAGAACAGCATAGGCCCAGATATATTTGGTCCTTGTATATATCTGGGCACAGGGGTCTTTTATGAGACTGTTTCTCCAAACAAGGACCATGTATGGATGCAACCTAGAGCCCCTGCTCAGATGTAGCCCTTGGTAGCTCAGTATCCAAGTGGGTACCCTAATAAGGGGAACAGGGACTGTTTCTGACATGAACTCGATGGTGGGCTCTTTGACCCCCCCAACCCAGGGAGGAGCAGCCCTGCTAGGCCACAGAGGAGGACTTTGCAGCCAGTCCTGAAGACACCTGATAAACCAGTATCAGATATAAGGGGAGGAGGTTCTCCTTTATCAGTGGACTTGGAAAGGGGCAGGGAGGAGATGAGGGTGGGATTGGGAGGGAAAGAGGGAGTGGAATACAGCAAGGATACAAAGTTAACAAACTGTAAAAAATTAAAAAAAAAAACTAAAAAAAAAAAAGAATTAAAAAAAAAAGAACAGCATAGGCAATTTTGTGAGACCTTATTTTAAAATACAACTTTAAGAAAGGGCTGACAATTACATAGGCTAGATAGCTCAGCAGGTAAAGGTTCTGACTACCAATCCTGATGATGTGAGTTCTATTCATTGGATCCACCAGGTGGGAAGAGAGAACCAATCACACCTCAGGATTGTCCTCTGACTGCCACATTCACATGCAAATTCAGACTGATGAATCTTAATGCAAAAAGAAACACTGTTATCTGAATACTATTGTCACCCTGGGGTGAAGCAAAGGGCTCGTCACAGCCAAGCAGTGATGGTGAGGAAAATCTGGGACACCTGCATGCAGTGATGCACCTGCCACACAAACACACACATTTGTATTAATAAATACAAATGCAAAAAAAATAGATGGCAATGTACCCAGAGAAAAAGTATTTGCCTAGCATGCATAAGGACCTAGTTTCAATCTCTAGCACCATAAAAACCAAACAAACCCCTTCCCTATAAAAAGATTCAACAAAGCTGGGTGTGATGCCACATGTTTATAGTCCCCTGCATATGAGAGGGTAAAGTAGAAGGTTTTCAAGCTCGAGGCCAGCCTGGGGTGCATGATGAGATACTGTCTCAAAACAAAATAAATTTCAACACAAAAAGGACTCTATTTGGAAAGAAGTGCAGATCCAGCAGGTAAAGATCACAACAGAGTTAGCAAAGGAAAAGCAACCAAAACACATCATGTAAGGGTTAGAATATTTCTCTTTATATAATGGACACTAGAAAACACAGAAAAAGTTATGCCCTTACCTTGCCCTGCTGGTTTATTTGGCTTACACTTCCAGATCATAGTCCATCACTGAAGGAAGTCAGGACAGGAACTCAAGCAGGGCTGGAACCTGGAGGCAGGAGCTGACACAGAGGCCATGGACAGGTGCAGCTCACTGGCTTGCTTCCCATGACTTGCTCAGCCTGATTTCTTAGTCTCAGGACTACCAGCCCAGGGATGGCACCACCCACCATGGTCCGGGCCCTCCACCTCTGACTACTAATTGAGAAAATGTTTTACAGCTGGATCTCATGGAGGCATTACATCAACTGAGGCTCCTTCCTCTCTGATGACTCCAACTTGTGTCACGTTGACACAAAACCAGCCAGTACAATATCTGACTTTGCCACTAAGAAAGAAAAATCTCAAGCAGGACCCTAGTGATGTCCCCAGTGATAAGTTTTCCATGCTGTCCCATTTTTTGATTTGGATGGATTTCCAAAAAAACACAGACTTTTCCTGTCCTCATGGAACAAAAACTTAGCGCAAGGGCTCTGACTTTTGTTGACAAGAAAGCCCAAAACACATTAAAGATTAATTTTATCACAATATAGTTCATAATGATTCTTCCTTAAATAGAATGCTATGATTTTAGGTGTGTACCACCATGACTAGTTTATAAGGTGCAGGGGATCAAACCCAGCACCTCATGCACGTTAGGTAAATATGCTAGCAACTGAGTTACATCCTTAGCTTCTAGGACCAAATTTCGTATTTTATGCTAGGAAGACAATCAAACAAAACATTCTCATCAGTTCAAAACTTGTAGTAGAGTCCAGAAGCATTTTCTGACTGATATGGCATCCTTTAAACATTAATAGTAAGCTGGGTGGTGGTGGCACACACCTTTAATCCCAGCGCTCAGCAGGCAGATGCAGGTGGATTTATGAGTTTGAGGCCAGCCTGGTCTACAAAGAGTTCCAGGACAGCCAGGGCAACATAGAGAAACTTTATCCCAAGAAACCAAAACCAAACCAAACGAAAACACCCCCCACCCAAAACATACCTTAGTATTGGCTGCTAAATAAACAGCATGCTTTGTGGAGATGATATCACTTGGATAGAAAACAGTGCAGTTGGGAATTGCTCGGAACATGGCCAGGTCTTCCAGTGCCATGTGATAGGAGTTGTCATCACCTGAGAAAGCCACAGACCAACAAAAACATGTACACAACCCTACCAGGAACCCACCATAAACTCCTTCTATCATTCTTGAGAAGCAGCTACTAGTACTGTTCCAGAGCACCCTGAACTGTAGCAAAGCCCAGAATGGTTCAACCCTTGCTATAATTTACATAGAGCTTTTACAGATCCGTTTTCCTAGAAAGCTCACTAAAATATTCTGGGTTAGGCTAACAAATGACCTTTCATATCAGTAATGAGTTGGCTGGCTGCACAGTACTACTGCTGTCCAAATTGAATCAATGCTCTCTTTCCTAAAATGTCAGTGACCCAAGTCTCTGATCCTGCATACTCCTCTCCTTAAGAATATCCCAAGGCTTTGTCTTTTCAGCTCTCTTCTACGTCTCATGTTCAAGAGATTATTTTCAGACTGAAAGATTTTTCCAGACTGAAGTGTCTTATTTATTTTGCTAGCCCTTTCAAGCACCGGATAATGTACTTTTAGGATACCCTATGATGCTGCCCTAACTAAGGATGTCCTTGGGTATATGGGCTCAGTATACGGAAATCACAATGTGTATAGAGAGAGGCAGCCTGCTTCTCTCAGGCTTGGGAGAGTACTGTCTGTGCACACTGTGTTGCCTAGGACCGTTATCCAACTTCCGAAGCCCAGAGCCTCTCTACGTCAGATCCACTTGACTCTGTAGCTGGCCTGATTTCCAAATTCTCACTGAACCCAGTTTTAGTTGAAGATTCTAGGGCTCTTTCTCAGGCTACTATCCCTGCCCATACCTCGGTGCTTCTTATGCCTAATCTGTCCTGTCTCTCAGCTCTCTGGGCTATCTGTCTGCGCCTCAGCTTCACTCATGTAGTTGTCTCCATTCCAAGGTCCAGGCAAAGCTGCTTTCTACAGTTCAGGTCCCCCAGGAAGCTACTTACATGATTCCTGAATCCTGAATGCACACCAGTAGCATTCTGGCAGCAAATGTAAGTTGCAATGACTATCTAGATAACTTATAACACCAGCTGACTCATCTTTCCCATGCAATTTCTGTACTTCATGAGCAAGATTCCCTTCCATCTGTCAACAAAGAAACTCCTGGATACCTGCTGTTTTGCTTTTCATATAGCTCCAGATCCTTCTATCAGTCAGCAATGTTTATTTTTTTCTTTACTGTCTCAGGACCACCTTTAGTTTTCTACTCTTGCTGGTTCCCACCTTTCTTCAATCCTTTCTCAGACTTTCCTGTTTCCAGCAGTCGCTGGCAGGTTACTGATAGTAGAATGAAGTTTTCACTCACATAATTTCCTGCATCATATTCTTGAAGAGGTTTCCACTCCACAAAACAAAAATGTCGAACAGCAATACTTGCTCTGTTTCTACCTAAATGTGTTCAGCTGCTCACAATCCTTCCGTCTGTCTATGATGCTTTTTCCAATTAGCTTGTGACCACACAGATGACAGGAAACAATTTTGGGACATGTGTGTTGTCCTTATTCAGATTTGGTATATATCAAGTCTCAGGAAGGCATGCCGACAAGTATTTCTCAGTGACTGAATGGGTACTCTACAGAAATGTGCCTCATCTGGATTGGTAGCCAGAGTGTCTAAAACACAAGTTCTCAAAACTAAATCCCTTTAATGAACAGTAATAAAACGCAAGGGCTACAGAAAGCTATCAACACAATGATGTTCAGAATGCATACCAGTAGATATCCCACAATGGCAACCAAGGCTGATGTTGATTTGAAAGATAGCTCCCATTCGGATCTGATCATCTGCTCAGATGAAAAAGGCAGCGAAGGTGCATGTAAAAACAATGGTCTGGTCACGAGTGGCATAGCCTAGACACATAGCCTAAAACACAAAGAATAGGAAGCAGATTATCCCTGGATTTGGCTTCATCTCCTCCCAATTAAACCACAGAGACTACATGTTATAACTCCTACTCTGTATATGGTAAACTATTTTTGCAGCCCTAGCATGTCTCTTTGCCATGCTCTTTCTTACACTTTTCTTACCCAACTCTGGTGGTATACATACCTCACACCTCCTAGAGACAAAGTTAAGAAATGGAGTGTCTGTCACTTGCCTGCCCATACCCTGCTCTCCACCTTGTAAAGGGCATGCCCCTCCCTGTGGATGATCTGCCCAATGCTCATCCTGGATCCCAATGGTGTCTTACTAGATGGTGTCTCTCCAATCCTATGATTCCTTCCCTTTCGTTTAGTTTATTTTCTCTTAAATCAGCTGTTACCGTTCAGTTATGTGTAAATACCTTCTATCTTCACTTTCCCATTCCATTTTACCCTTCCTTCCAGAAACTGCCCCTAATTGGTTCTACTTCACAGAAAACTTGTCAAAAAGTCATCTAACCACTGTTTCCATTTTCTTATTTTCTACTTTCACCTTAGCCTGCTTCATCTAGGCCTCTGTTCCAATGAAAAACCCTGAAACTAATTTTTTTCCAGGTGGTCTCTTGACTTTGAGTGGCATCACAGTTGACCTTTTGTTAGTATTCAGAACAATTCACTTCTCCTTGGCACAAGGACCATTATGCTCCAGATTTCTGTGATGTTGTAATAGGACCAGTCCTGCTCCCTCTTAAGGTTGCCAGAGTGTGCACACTACTTGTTGATGGGCATATAGCATTCTCCAAGCTCTGTGCTCATCCTTCCTCTTTGGACCATTGGCTCGGGAAGACTGTGTCTGATGTGCACAATTTAAAAAATAACCATTTCTCCCTTCCCTTTGCCCCTTTCATGCCTATATGTGTCTGTGTGTGTCTGGGTGCCCATACAGACCAGAAGAGGGCACAGGGATGATGCTTGGCAATGGGCATGGTGAGAGAATGTTTCTACTTTCCAGATAATCCAGAAATGGGGATTATACATAAAAATCTTCTGATGTTTAAATGCTAGCAACTCATTTAAAAAAAAAGTATTTGTTTCAAAACACAAAATTCACAAGAGCTCTGCTAGTTTAGTTCCCTGCCTATCAAATACATTAAAAAAAAAAAAACAAAAACACCAAAAACAGTGTGCTTTTCACAGTTGTTTTTAGCCTCTGCAATGCAAAGACAAGAGAGGAGCTGTCATTCTCTACAAGTCATGGTTTTAGAGTTCTAAGGGTTTCCTGGCAACAACTCATTTCTCTTTAGAATGGTGCAGGGCCAAGCAAATGGTGTTGCACACCTTTAATCCCAGCACTCGGGAGACAGAGGCAGGAAAATCTCTGAGTTTGGGGTCTGGTCTACAAAGCAAGTTTTAGGACAGCCCAGGCTACACAGAGAAACCCTGTCTCAAAAAAACCAAACCAACCAACCAAACAAACAAAGAATGTTGCATATTATCACTCTGGTCACAGAGAGAGGCATATACAATTAGAGCAGATGACCACTGGTATTTTCTTTTTAATTCTTTGACAATTTCTAACTATTGGTATTTTTCTACTTTAAAATAAATTTCTTGAAAAAGAGTCTCACTATCTAGCACTGTCTGGCCAGGAACTCACAGAGACCAGATAGTTCTTTAATCTATCTGTCCCTGGATGGCTGTAAAATTGCCTAGTTATAGGATAGAAGGGACAGGGAGGGCTTCTGGGGAACTCCACATCATGGCCATCAAACACGTAAGTATTCCAACCTGTCACTGATATGGTAAGATTATAACGAAGAAGAAGTATAGGACAGAAAAAAAGACATAGCAGCAAAGGCACAATTACCCAAAGGCTTCACAACGCTTCTGGTGGACAGCAGCAATGCAGTGGTCAACAGTCATGGAGCCAGTGTGTCCAATGTAGTTCACATCAAAGATTACAATGAGATTTTCCAGATGGTAGTAGGATGCAAAGGCCAATGACTTCCAGACAGAGCCTTCTGTGCACTCCTCATCCCCCAGAAGACAGAACGCCCGGTAGCTAGAAACAAATCAAGAAATAGTTAGGAGCAATTTGGGGGCTCACTTGGGCCACATAAGCAAATGTATTTCAGGGAGAGGGAGAAAGAGAAAAAAAAAAGAAAGAAAAGGAAGAAAGAAAAAAAAAAGAGGGGAGGGAGGGAGGAAGAAAAGAAGGAAAAAAGGAAGGGAAATACTGACTCTGGGATCTGCTTCAGAACCCAATGTTCTTAGGACTATTTTCCTCAATTCTTCCCTAGTTTAGCAGCTGAGGAGCTGAAATCTGAGCCTCATGAGATGGACTTTACTTTTGACTAGCAGTCTCATTACAGCTCTAATACTATTTTTTTTAGCTGCTTTTGCTCCCTTTTCTGATTTGTCGGCAAGCAAGAGGCAATGAGAAACCAGGTCTCTGAAACATGTAAACAAGGTACATACACTTTTCTCAGAAAGCTCCATTTTTTAAAAGCATTGCCACCTTTTATTTCTGAACTTAAAATTCATTTACAGCAGGGCACAGTACAGCATGCCTATAATCCCAGCACTAAGGGAAGCAGAAGTAGGTGGATATTTTTGAGTTTGAGGCTAGCCTGGTCTACAAAGAGTGTCCAGGACAGCCAAGGCTACACAGAGAAACCCTGTCTCAAAAAACCAAAAAAAAAAAAAAAAGATTTATTTACAATCATCATAGTAATGGAAACATCCTCCCTAGGGAGTTATGCTGTACCACAAACAGTACACTCCTCTGTAGCAGAGACATGAGCCATTTATATCGCTTATACGCACCCTAGACCTCATAATACTACTGTGGGTTTAAGAAAAGTTTTTTTTTTTAAAAAAATATTTTTATTTTACATGTATGGGTGTTGAGAGTGTCAGACCCCCTAGAAGTGGAGTTACAGACAGTTGTGAACTGCAGCATGGGTTCTGGAAATCCAATCTAGGCCTCTGAAAGAGCAGCCTCTTAATTGCTGAACCACCTACCTCTCTAACCTTTAAGAAAAGTTATTAAAGTCAAGGTAGTAACCAAGAGAGGCTATCATGGGTGAAAAAATTTAGCAGCTCTGTGAAAAACGGAACAAGGAGGCTGCTGGAGGGGTGAAGGAAACACACGTAAGTACTTCCAGAAGGAGTCTATGAGTTGGAACAAGGTTTCCAAGGATCTAAGTAGCTATGTCCTGAAAACCCAGGAAAGAGAAACTGAACTACAGGATCTCTGCATTGGGGCTTACTGTATGCAGGACAGGCTGCTGGAAGTCTCAGGTCTCAACCAGGCATTTCACTTGTACTGTTCATCACAAGCAGCAGATGAGCACAGATCCAAGAAAGAGACTGTGAACCAACCCAGTCAAAGGACCCACGTTACTAACATTTGGGGGTTCCCAATGCAAAGGACATGTTGTTCATTCCACAGTGAAATTCTACACGACAAAACATGAAGCTGTCTCAGAAAATACAAGTGCTCTAATACTGCAGTCACCACTAACATCCAACCAGAGATGCTGGAACAGTTCCGCAAATGTAATTTAGTTAGTAGATCAATACCGTGTAACCAGAACTTTTAAAACCATCATTGTGTTCTGAAACTAATGAGTCAAAGTGCAGGAGTCAGGTAGCAAATGGATTCTGGTAAGCTACTTACCTGGCTTGGTCAAAGTACTTGCCAGTATATGCCGTCCCACAGGCAGCCCCTAGTCCTTGCCCAGGTCATCCTGTTGCCGTATTAACAAATGGCAGTCCCTGTAAGAGAAAAGAGACCTAGTGAATATAGGAACAGCTGCAGGACATAGGCTTTGGGAAGATTTGCTACATCTACAAAGTCTTAGATCAATGTCATAAGATGATCACGGGGCAAGCCTGAGGCCTACCCTAAATATCACTGTCACTTTGTCACTGGGGTGATATAGATAAGGTACCCATTAGCACAGATTCCACAGTACGGCGATGGCAACTGGAGCTTTTAGAACACAAAGGAAGAAACCTAGTGCAAAGTAGAAAATGTAAAGCATTTTTCATAAAGTCTTTGGTCCATCTATGTATAAGCCAGATGTTAAATCTTTGGGAAAATACGTTCTCAAAGAACTAGAAACATACTTGGCAGTAGTGGTACATGCCTTTAATCCCAGCAATCTGGATGCAGAGGAAGGCAGGTGGATCTCTGTGAGTTCAAGGCCAGCCTGGTCTACAAAGCGAGTTCCAGGACAGCCAGAGCTACATAGAGAAACCCTGTCTGGAAAACCAAAATCCAAACAAAACCTAGAGTCACAGAAGTGTTTGAGTATTCTAGTCAGTGCCAATGTTTGTGATTAATCTGTCACTCTACTTCCCCTTAACTAATGTCCATTAGTTTATATGCAGCAGGTTATCAGTGTTTCATGGAGAGAAATGTGCCCCTTACAGGTCACAAAGCCATGCCAAAGTGCTGCTGTTTTTGTGGGAGACACCTTGCTCTTGAGCTGCCAGACACACTAAATTTATTCATTGTCACTATCCATCAAGAACAGTAGCAACAACAGTGGAGTGAACTTGAGCCTAAGGAGACAAGCTGCAGATGCCAGAATTGGAAGGTGGTGCTACTAGAACCCTTTGGAAGCCCAGAGTATTATATCATGAGTGACTCTGAGATGCTGGACATACAGGATTTGACTTCTGGATTTTGGGTTTTACTTTGAGTGTTCCTATACCTTGGTTCTCCCTTTTGGAGGAAGAAAGTACATAACCTATTTTTTCATTTTCTAAGATCCCAGTTAAGAGGCCTTGATCTTTTAAAAAGGCACTGAACTTGTAAAGTATCGGAATTCTTAAAAATGTGACTTTTAAAGTTGTACTGTACTTTATAATGACATTAACATGGAATATAGGCAACAAATAAGAAAGGAAAAGTTGACAAAAGATGGAGTTTACTGGTTAGTTTTTATTGTCAAGTTGACACAACTTAGTGTCACTTAAGAAGGAACCTCAATTGAAGAATTACCTCAATAGGGCTGGCCCATTCCTAGGTCTCATACAGACTGTCTTGGTTGATGATTGATTTTAGCCCAATTGCATTCCACTGTGGGCAGCACTGTCCCTAGGTAAGAAAGTCTAGACTGTGTAAGAAATCTGGCTGTCAGCCAGGCATGGTGGTGCACATCTGTAATCCCAGCACTCTGTGAGGCAGAGGCAGGAAGCTCTCTGTGAGTTCAAGGCCAGCCTGGTCTACAAAGTCAATCCAGGACAGTCAAGGATACAGAGAAACCCTGTGTTGAACAATAAAACAAAACAAACAACAACAACAACAACAAACAAGCAAGCTAGCTGTGTATGAGTCAGAGAGGAAAGCAAACCAGTAAAGCAGCTTGAGTTTCTATCTTGAGTTCTTCTCTAAATGATAGACTGAGATCTGGAAATTTAAACCAAATAAACATTCCCTCTCAAGTTGTTTTTGGTTAGAGTGTTTCATTAGCAACAGAAAAACAACTAGAGTAACAAGCTCTGGTTCACAGATGTCTTACATGCCCTTGGTTAACAGACCTACAACACCTCTGCTTCCTCCTAACTGTGAAGCACAAGGAAAATAAGCCTTAGGACTTCATCTTTTGGCATAGAGTCAGAGCCTCCAGAGTATCAGTCAATAGGACAGATTGAGATTATGGGTGGGTTAATGGCAAAAAGCCTAACAAAGGACAAGGGCCACGAAAAGGTTTCTTACCAACCACATTTCTTTTAGATAAGCTATTTTTGTAGCTCAGCCTGATCTGGAACTATTTAAGGTGACTTCAAATTTGGTAATTCTCCTGTCTTAGCTACCTAAGTGTTTAGACTACAGGTATGTGTCATCAGACTCAGCTAGGGTTTCTTTTTCTCAACTATTAAGCATTGAGGGGCACAACTTGGGGGTGGGAAGGGCTAGATTAAAGAGATGTATACCTCCAAAGGGAAGAATTCACTTCCAGGCAATGCTTATCTTTGTTACAGAGCCAAGTTTATACAAAATATTTTGGCTACTTCCCGGGCCTGCTTAGATGAAGAAAAAAAAAAAGCTGGTAAAATTAAAAAAGCCCTTCAGTTCTGAGTTGATGGTTCTTGCAAATCATTCTCCATGTTCTGCAGGTTGAGAAAGGCAGATTCACTGAAGTCATCTGCCTCTCAAAGCAGCACAGAGGATGGTAGAAGCATGATCTGCCAATGGGGATTTCAGTACTAGGTGGAGTGAGTAAGAGTACCACCAAAGCAAAGATGGACACATGCCAGCTGCCACATGCCATCTTTCCCGCCACACATGTCATGTGTCTCCAAGTGGACTTTACTAGAACAACTTAGCACTGTGAAAAAAAACAAAAACAAAAACAAAAACAAAAAAAAAACCAAACAAACAAAAAACCCAAAAAACAAAATAACAAATGATTCATTTCAAGCCTATTGATACATGGTGCCTTTAAAAAGCAAGCCTCAAACCAGGTACACACCTATAAGCCTAGAATTCAGACGCTGGAGGTAGGAAAAACAAACGAAATAAAACAAAAAAAAGAAAGAAAAAGAAAAAAAAAACCCAACTGCCCGAAAATAAACCCCACAAACAAAACCAGACAAACAAAAAACAAGCAGCAGTATTCCTGACACCATACCTTTGAAATGATGAATTGATCGTTGTCTGAGTTCTCTGGGTCTGCCTCTTTATATCTCATTGTGTGGAATAACAACACAGACAGGATCTCGGCAGCACTGATGCATGGGGTGAGATGGCTGAAAGGCAGATACGATCTAAGTCATTTCTCACAGGCAAATGGTTCCCAGTAGGGGCACCTTGTACTTCTATGTATAGCAGCAGTACACTGTGTCCTTGAACTAGAAGCAGCAGTTATTTCTCGTAGCCTGACTTAATTCAGCCAAGAACCAGGGGTGCTGGGCCTCTCATGCACGAGGCATTTAACGCTATCTGAGAGGTCGGCAACCTTCCAATCCCTCTTTCTCTCTGCACAGAGTCTGTACCTAGCCCTCTTCTATCATAGGAGCACCATCACTTGGGCTTATGCTTAATTTGTTACTGAGTTGAGCATTCTTTCCCTCATATGCTATCATCTGTAGAACATCCAAATGCTTCACCCTATCAGAACCAACACATAGATTCTATGGTTTCTCTGTATAGCCTTGACTATATTGGAGCTCACTCTGTAGACCAGGTTGGCCTCTAACTCACAGATACCCACCTGCTTCTGCCTCCTAAGTGCTGGGATTAAAGGCATGCACCACCACGAGTTGCTGAATTTCTCTTTTTTAAGTATTTATTTATTTATGTATACAGTTGTTTTTGTCTGCATGTACTTTTGCACACCAAAGAGAGCACTGGAACTGGGCACTGTGGCACATACTTGTAATCCCAGCACTCTGGGAGGTAGAGAGAGGCAGGCAGGTCTCTGTGAGTTTGAGGTGAGCCTGGCCTACAAAGTGAGTCTAGGACAGCCAAGGCTACACAGAGTAACCTTGTTCCAAAAAAACAGAGAGAGAGAGAGAGCGAGAGAACATAGAATCCCATGGGTCTATAGTTGTAGATGGCTTTGTGAGGTACCATGTGAGTGCTGGGAATTGAACTCAGGACCCCTCTGGAAGAGCAGCCAGTATTCTTAACTGCTGAGGCATTCCTCCAGCACCCAAAATGAATTTCATAGGACAGGAAATAAAACCTACTACCTGAAAATATTTCCCAGCTATTCATTTGGCAAAGCATTAATACTCAAAAGATAAGGATCTAAATTTTTAACAACAAATTAAAGTGGGTAAATAGTCTAAATAGATTTTTCAAGGAAAGAAATGTGAATGGCCCAACAAGTATATAAAAATATTTAGCATCATTAGTTTTCAAGAAAATGTAAATCTAAACTACAATAAGGGCCAGACATGGTGGTCAATGCTTGCAATCCCAGGATTCAAGAGGCTGAGACTGGAAGCCAGCTTAGTGGTAGAGTGTCACTTAGCATGTGGATGATGAAGTTTGATAGCCAGCATCACAAAATCAAACTAACAAGCAAACAAACAACTAAAAGAAAGCTATTATAAAAGAATAATAGCTTTTGGCAAATGAAGTATTTGCCTTGTAAAAACAAGAATCCCAGTTCAACCACCAGACCATGTTTTAAAACAAAACAAAACAAAACAGAAAAAAAATTCTGTACTAGCTTATGATCTATCTATTTCAAGATAACATAGACTTGTAATAAGCATTTATTTTTAAATGACTGCTTCAAATAAGTCTGTGGACCAAGCTGGTCTCTAACTCAAGAGATTGAAGGTGTGCCAGCATGTCTGTCTAATATTTGCCTTCTTAAATAAATTTCTCTGTATAAATAAATGTATGCTTCATTAAAAAAAAAAGGTTGGCTGGGCAGTGGTGACACACACCTTTAATCTCAGCACTTGAAAGCAGAGGCAGGCCAATGTCTACATTCTGAGGCCAGCCTGGTCAACAGAGCAAGTTCCAGGAGAGCCAGGACTATATAAAGAAACCCTGTAGAAAGAAAAGAAAAGAAAAGAAAAGAAAAGAGAAAGAAAGAAAGGGAGAGAAAGAGAGAGAAAGAAAGAAAGAGAGAGAAAGAAAGAAAAGAGAGAGAGAAAGAAAGAGAGAAAGAAAAAGAGAGAAAGAAAGAGAGAGAAAGAAAGAGAGAGAAAGAGAGAGAAAGAAAGAAAGGAAGAAAGAGAGAGAGAAAGAAAGAAAGAAAGGAAGGAAGAAAGAAAGAGAGAGAAAGAAAGGAAGAAAGAGAGAGAAAGAACGAAAGAAAGAAAGAGTGAAAGAAAGAGAAAGAAAGAAAGAAAGGAAGAGAGAGAAAGAAAGAGAGAGAAAGAAAGGAAGAAAGAGAGAAAGAAAGAAAGAGAAAGAAAGAAAAGAGAGAGAGAAAGAAAGAGAAAGAGAAAGAAAGAAACAGAAAGAAAGAAAGGAAGAGAGAAAGAAAGAAAGAACGAGAGAGAGAGAAAGAGAGAGAAAGAAAGGAAGGAAGAGAAAGAAAGAGAAAGAAAGAAAGAAAGAAAGAGAAAGAGAGAAAGAAAGAAAGAAAGAGAGAGAGAGAGAGAAAGAAAGAAAGAAAGAAAGAAAGAAAGAAAGAAAGAAAGAAAGAAAGAAAGAAGAAAAAAGCCTGTAATTGTAACCTCTGTAGGGGTGGTGGTCATGGAGGTAGAACTGGGATATTATTAAGACCCATACATCAAAAATGTAGAACAAAATGAAATCTTGTGTTTTAAAATGTAACTACATTGTCTTCTTAATGTCCAGGTTTCAGAGCAAATTATTTTTGCGGTGCTGTGGATGGATCCTAGAGCCTTTCACATGATAGGCAAATAGTCTATTACTGAGATGTATTCCCAAACCCAGGACAGGATGAAAGAAACAAAAACAAAAACAAAAAAACATGCAAAGCACTTTTAGTGACTAGAAGGACATGAAATTAGAAACCAATGGAAAAATTAAAAAAAAAAAAAAACATTCAACAGAGTTGTGGAAATTAAATAATGAACTCTTATACAAACCAAAGAAAAATTAAAGCAAAAACCCACTTCGACATGGTGGCACTCAGGGAGGCAGAGGCAGGCAGATGTCTGAGTTTGAGGCCAGCTTTTTCTACAAAGTTCAGGACAGCCATGGCTACACAGAGAAACCCTGTCTTGAAAAACAAACAAACAAAACAAAACCAACCAACCAACCAACCAACCAACAAGCAAAAATCCAAATCTTATGCAGCAAGAGCAGTGCAAAGAAAAAATGTCTATATATATATATATATATATATATATATATATATATATATATATAT